ATTTAATTTTATAATTTTAAATTTTCTTAGATAAGTTTCTCAGTCTTTCAATTCGTCTTTTAATATATAGAGATACACTATGGCGCGAAGCTTTTATTTTTAGTTCAATTAAATTTTGTTGGTTTTATATTTATTTTGTTCTTTTGGAGGTTTCGTTTTTATAACCTTACATTTTTAGTTCTGCTTCAAATACAGATAAATAAGACAAAGTGATCTAATATGTTAGACACTTTTCTTCCATGGTGTCACAACAACAAATAAGACGAGATTTCCATTAGTTAATTTCAAAGTATATACACACCTTCCTTCTCAATTGGATACTTGCACTTCAAAAAGAAGATCACGGATACCCACACATGTGACGTATGACGTCAGCGCTAGCTGAACGTTTATAAGTAAAATGGCTTGTTAAAGTCAAGCTAAGTTTCTCCACATAAGTTAGAATGTTAATTAAAGTGAAGTTAATTAAATACAGAACCGAATAGCATACAAAATTTGTTAAAATAAAATTCTTACTCGTCTCCGTCTTTTACTTAACTTAAGATTTAGATTTATTATTTGTTTATGTTTTTTATTGTAACCGTGATATACTTTTGCTCGGCAACTTCGATGCATAATTAGTTTGTTTATGTTCCACAAAGCTTCATGACTGTCTTTGTGAAGGAATCTTTGCGAAAGAATATAGAATGTGTCATTTAGGGGAATTGATACTTGACGAGCCTAACATTGATTTTTAAAATGTGAAGTGGTAGATAAGAATCAGAAACAATTACTTAAATCTTCCCCATTTTTGTGATTTATTCCTCGGTAATAGAAATCTAGAAAACTAGTTAAATAACTGCTTATCTAACGTTGAATGAAAAAATACTAATTATTATAAACACAACACATCTGTAAACAGCAAAATTGCAACCAGAAAGCGTAGCCAAATTATTCAACAAAAAATAAGCACTTTTCAAGCCCTCAAAAATATTTTTAAGCACTTTACAAAAATATCATAATTAGGCAGGGTTGGAAAGTTTCTGACAATTGACGGTGTTATCTTGTTTTAACCGTCACGTCAACAAAAAAAAAACTTTTGGCATTGTTTTTGACAATTGTCAAAAACCATGAAGTTTTGAATCATGTAAAACGAATGGCGTTTTCATACGCTACGGACTGACAATACGCCGAAATAGATTGGGTTGAATGAATTGTGAAAACGTTGAACAGAACAATGTGAACTGTGTCTTTTTGCATAATTCATAGCGAAAATCAACATGGTAAAGGAAAAATCTCATTTTAAAAAAGGGAAACTTAAGCACTTTTTAAAAACACCCAATGAAAAAAGCACCTTTAAGGGCTTTTAAAAAACGAAAATAAGCACTTTTTAAAAACGCTACGCACCCTTGTAGTTAAATAACTGCTTATCTAACGCTGAAGGAAAATACTAATTATTATAAACACAACACATCTGTAAACAACAAAATTGCAACTTAAGCTAATAAGCATTACCCTCCAAATTATCTTTTAAATTCCACCAGCTAACAAAAACAAGGAATATTTTAATAAATGCAGTATGCGGGGGCAAAAATGTAATTTAAATATGAATCGCCTAGAGGCACGCCCAGGTCTAGCAGAATGCGTCCGGAATTAACTCGGAATGATTTAAATTGGCACGTCTCGTGAGTCCCGTCTGATATCCCCGCAGTTCGTAGTTAGCAAGACGCAACTGCTTTGATGCAAATGGTAATTTCCTGCTACAATTAAGATTCGCGGCGTCGTACCTAATCAAATTAAGAATATCTTTCATTTCATTACCAGGTACTTAAATGCAGATGCTGAGAATAACGAAGAGATGCTTTGTTTTACATAAAGATAAAAATAATCCAGCTATCTTCTTGGGAATTTACTAATGACTTTTGTGAAAGGATTGTTTAAAATTCTCTCCGTGAATTTTTTATTTTTTCGTTTAAAATAAACGATATTTAAGATTTTTTTTTCAAAACAGGAGGAATGAGTGTATTTAGTTTTAGTATGCGTATCTGATTAATTAAAAAGGACGAACCTGGAATTTCTTATTTTGTAGTTGTGAATGGTAAGCAGTTGTGTACACTATCATTCCAATTGGTTGCTACCAGTAACTGATTGATCTTAACTGGTATAATTCAATAAATATTGACGTAATTTTGTGTTTATGAATGTTAAGCAGTTGTTTACACTATTATTGCAATTGGTTGCTACTAGTAACTGATCTTGACTGGTCTAATTCAATAAATATTGACGTAATTTTGTGGTTGTGAATGGTAAGCAGTTGTCCACACTATCATTCCAATTGGTTGCTACCAGTGACTGATTGATCTTGACTGGTATAATTCAATAAATATTGACGTCATTTTGTGATTGTGAATGGTAAGCAGTTGTCCACACTATCATTCCAATTGGTTGCTACTAGTAACTGATTGATCTTGACTGGTATAATTCAATAAATTGAAGTAATTTTGTGGTTGTGAATGGTAAGCAGTTGTGGACACTATTATTCCAATTGATTGCTACCAGTAACTGATTGATTTTGACTGGTATAATTCAATAAATTGACGTAATTCTGTGGTTGTGAATGGTAAGCAGTTGTCTACACTATTATTCCAATTGGTTGCTACCAGTAACTGATTGATCTTGACTGGTATAATTCAATAAATATTGACGTAATTTTGTGTTTATGAATGGTAAGCAGTTGTTTACACTATTATTGCAATTGGTTGCTACTAGTAACTGATTGATCTTGACTGGTATAATTCAATAAATTGAAGTAATTTTGTGGTTGTGAATGGTAAGCAGTTGTGGACACTATTATTGCAATTGGTTGCTACTAGTAACTGATTGGTCTTGACTGGTATAATTCAATAAATTGAAGTAATTTTGTGGTTGTGAATGGTAAGCAGTTGTGTACACTATTATTCAAATTGGTTGTTACCAATGGTTGATCTTGACTGGTATAATTCAATAAATTGACGGAGCATTTATTTTACAGAATGCTACGTGAAGTGCTAAATCTATCTAATGAAGCTTTTACTTGACGGGATGCTGCGTGGAAGTGCAAAATCTCTTTATAGCTTTTATCTCACGCAAACCGAACAAAATATAAAATTAACTTCATCACTTTTTAAATTAAAAAAAATAACTTTATTTAAAAATGTAATGTTTCATATTTTTACGAAACTAAAATTATGTTTTTAACAAATAATGCCAACGACTTGGTCAATACTTAACATGAAGAGAAACGCATATTTAGCAACAGATTTTCTTATACAAATGCCAATTTTCCGGAAAATCTTTAAAAACGTGAATTTCTTGTACTAAAATTAATTTAAAAACATAATTTAAATCTTTTTTTACTAAGCCTTTAAAACAGCATTTTAAAATTTATAAAAAAATATTATATATATACAAAAATATTAATATAAAAAATATTAATTATAAAAAGAGATAGTTGAATTAGCAAAATCAATTTTTATATTAAAATCGTTTACAACTTCATAAAATAGTTTAGCAAGGAAAGGGAAAACACAGACATATTGTTTCATAAAATAACGCTAAGATCTTCAAAATGTAGAATTAATTCACTGTTTAGAACTCATAGAAATAATGTTTAAGTCAGTATTAATTGACTTTTCGATAAAAGATTAGCATTAAACAGTATGATCCACTTTTCTTTTTTTTTCCTTTTTTTTTTAAATTTCCTTTAGTAATTTTATAGTAGCCATTCCGTACTTACTTTTAACTATAATTATAACAATTGGCCTTAATTTTAATAATATAGCTAGAATTTTACTTCTGCATTATCAAGAAATAAATTTGAAACTAACAACATTTAATTTCTAGTTTGCAATGTTCTGAAGGATTGAGTCTATTGTGCTGCCATCTACATGAAAATAATAGTAACAAATGCAAATAAAAAATTCGACTTGCAGTTACACACAAGAAAAAAATATCTTTACTAACACAAATACACAGGGAGAAAAAAAATAACCTTTAACACAAATAAAAAAAATCTAGAAAATAATAATTTTAGAAATCAATAGTAACGTGTATGAATTAAAAAGTTCCTGGTATAAGATAAAATTAACTTAAGGAGTAAGATTTCTAACAAAATAAAATTTGAATTCAAATAATTTATCAAATAAAAAATTATTAAGTGTGCATGAGACAATTAATGAATTTATGTGAAATATGACAACTGCATAAAGTAAAGAGAAGACATCAAAAACAAGTTTTTCAGATGTTTTGGATTTTTATCTCCATTTACTCAAGAATTTATTTAGTTTAGTTTCTGATTATTGCTGCTTCTTTTCTAAGACTGAATTTTGTTGTTGTTGTCGTAGGCTATTAAGGCAACGGGCTGAAATTATTCTTGTTTTCCAGTGGCGCCATCTATAGCCAAAATTCGACTTCTACCACACCCATACGTCACACCCGTTTATAGGGCAGACCCATTCATGCATGCATTGCATTCATCCACAGATCGCAATTTTGACCTGAACCAGTCATCCACAGATCCTAATTTCGACATGAGCCAGAGAACGATCAATCTCCAATTCAGTACCCCTAGAGGTTTAATTTGGTATGGGAACATGGAGGACTCTGTGACCAGACAGATTTAAAGTGCACCGGTCATCATTTACTACATGGGGAGTCTTGGTCAGGTTGGATTCATACTATGTTCTTATAAACATAAGTCCAGCGCCCTGCCAACCAGGCTATCCTGGTTCCAATTTTTTGTGAAACAGTCTAATGTGTTGGTTTATTTATTTATTTTGAAAAATATTAGCAAATTTTGCATTCTTAACTATTGTCTGAACTGATTGCCACCTTACGGTTTCCTTTCAGTTTTTTTCTTCTTTTGTAATCAAACTTTTAGCTTTAAATTGAGAGAGATACGTAGTTCATGTGGGCACTAAAATTTCATCAGAGGGGCCACTCGCTGAAGAGCCCAACCCTAGATTAAACTATGAAAAACTGACCTCTTGCAGCTGATTCCCACTTTTCTTGATAGAAAGATTTAAATGCCTGTCTTGTGACTGGAAGAATTTGGCGGTATCTTTCTCAAACTTCTTTCGTCTATCCTGAAAAAAATAATTAATATTGTTTAGTAACAATAACTAAAAGTATTCTAAATAGTATTCTGACTAAAAAGTATTCATAAATTGTATCTGAAATAAATTATATTTACCTTGGCTCCACCAATATATTCTTTTCGGAAACATTCGATCGGATCGACAAATGCGATTTGAGCTTTCTCCAACTTGAAAAAAAGAAAATCTTTTTTTAACAAGGAATATGATATTAAACTTTTAATACAAAGATGTACATAAATTTATTAAAAAAATTTTGAAAGGATAATTAGTAATTAAATACAAATTTTTAGTTACAAAACATAATTTAGAATTTTTACATAATTTAGAATTATTTACAAAGAATAATATAGAGTTTTAATAGAAATTAAAACAGTAGAAAAATATTTTTAAAAAATATTATATTTATTAAACATATTTCTTTTCAATCTCAGTTTAATATACATAAATTGGATCCTTTGAGCTTTCAAACTAATTGTAAAAACAGATATTGAGTGCTCCATAATGAAAGCCCTATATTTTTTCAATTTCCTCGTTATATTTTTCGAATATATTTTTTCAGATCCTCGTTAAATGTGAATGAAATAAAGATACATACATTAGAACAACGAAAAAAATACTATCAAAATCTATGAAATCACATGTAATAAAGCCGTGATAAAAATAAATAAATAAAATTTGATTGTCTAATGAAACTAGAAGGTATTTCTACCAATGACCTTTCACATCAATTTTGTTTCCACAGCAACCAAACAAGTTTTGAAGTTTAGGGTAGAACCTAAAACCCATCTCACTATATTTCGATAATGTTTTTGTTTTTACCACACTTAAATATTTATTCTTGACAAGTAACGTATGTTTTTTTACTACATTTTTGACAAGGATTCAAAAATTATATAGTAAGGATAGTCATTAAGGAACATTCGGTACAGATTAAGTATACAAAAAGACAAAGCTATGCAAGAAAGATAGACTGAGAAAAATGGAGCTTCTGAATGCGTTGTTAAAACATCTGTCAATTCAAAAAAATAAATAAATAAATAATAATAATAATAATTGAGAAAGAGTATGGAACTAATTATTTTTTAATTTGATAAAGAAACTAATTTGAACAGAACAGACTTGCACTATTAGTTTAATTTTTAAACAGAGATTAAAAATGTATGACCGAAAAGAATTGTTCTATAAAGAGTAGAAAATTTACCAACTGTTTTAACAAAAAGATCTGATTTTTAAAATAAAAAACTTGTAATAAAATACTTAGAATTTTAGAATAATAGTAAGAATAAAGATTCGACATCGGAAAAGTGATTCTCAGCTTCTAAAGGGGTAAAAAAAGTGTTTTAAGTTTAAACGTTTTGGATTTTTTAAGTTATATTAATGATTATTTACTACTTTATGAAAGATTTTTGCAAAAGATGCGATTAAAATTTTGACCAAAATACAATTTATCTTCTTTTTTAAATTCATTATTATATTTCAATTCATTATATTTCAATTCATTATATTTCAATTCATTTTATTTCCATTCGTAAAGTTAAGGATTTGTCACTTACCATTCTATCTCTTTCATCTTCAATAGCATTAAGCAAGTTACTGAACTCTTTTAAGGCTCCAGCTAGAAAGTGAAAATAAAACTTTATTATCATTTTTCAATGAATGAATAAAAAAGGAATTATATTATATTTAAAAAAATTAAATAAATAAAATTAAAAAAAAGAGAGAACAAAATTTTTAAAGGGAGAGAAGTTCCTTCTTAACTTAACGAAATGGCACTAGATGGCGGCACGATTTTATCGAATGAAGTCTGAAGTTAAGTAATCTAGAATTCCTACATAAATGTCATAATATGATGCAGTGAACATGAGTCACCATTTCCACGTTGCGATGTTTATATGTATTGTTGCAAAACAGCTAAAATCAAAAAATAAATATTTAATAAATAAAGGAATTTTTCAAAAAAATTTAATTTTACTTTTTTAGAATTATTTTTTCATGAAAATTTTTGCCAAACTAATATTGTGTGCGAAAATAAACTATTTTTCTTTTTAAAAATCAGAAAAAAGACACAAATAATTATGCCAGTATAAATCTTGGATCGTTTTGTTTTTAATAACGAGCTAATTCTACACGTGAAAAACAAATTTATCGCTATCAACAAAACATTGCAATCTATGAAATTTTCCTACATTCATTTCGTTGAAAAAACATTCCTAACAAATATATTTCTGAAAAAAATTTCCACCTTAAAATATGAAAATAAATATAGCAGCATTAATAAAAAAAGAAAAAAAATCCAAAAAAAAAAAATATATACCATCATTAATACTCAACATTACTTTTCACTACAAAACGGGATAACTAGTTTAAAGGATACTTTATCTACATTTCCACATAAAATACTAAAACTAGGGAAAGTTGTTTATTACCAACACAAGTGTATGGATAGTCCATTCATAACAAATTTTTAGAACAACGTACACAAATTAAAATGCTAACGTTGTACTCATAAATTGCCCAAGTTATTCGATGCATTGATGTAAATATATATATTTGAGTTTTCATATGAATAAATATTATTCCGTATTCAAAACAGTTTTTTTTAAAGGAAAAATCAAATATATAGTATAAGAAAAACTATAATATTAAATCAAAAATTTTTAGAGGCTCTTTAAACACGGGGAAATTTTGTAAAATTGTAACTTTTGGCTCTTTCATTTCAAAAGGTTGCCGACCCCTGGTTTAGGGCATAAGCGCCTAACGTGGGCGTTGAAGACTTCTAGGGGGGCGCTACTGATTTCTAACCTACAAAAGAAATTTTTTTTTATTAAATATTGAAATTAAGAATAAGAAATTTTTATTAATAACTAATTTTTTTCGATATAAGTTGAAGGTTTATAATAACTTAACAGTTTTTCTTTTCAACTTTTGCGTTTTTTTACTAGTTGGCTTACAAAATATAACTCTGTGACTTAGAATCATAGTAGTAATGACTACATAGAATCATAGTAGTAGTAATGACTACTTAGAATCATAATAGTAGTAATGACTACTTAAAATAAGAAATTTTTATTAAATAACTAATTTTTTTCGATATAAGTTGAAGGTTTATAATAACTTTACAGTTTTTCTTTTAAACTTTTGCTTTTCTTTTATTAGCTAGCTTATAAAATATAACTCTCTGACTTAGAAACGTAGTAGTTAGGTTCCTTAAATTTTCTCATAAATTACATAATTTCTTTATAGACCCATATGAAATATTTATAGGTTAATTGCAAGGTTAATAATCCTTTTTATGCAAAAACGTACAGATTTTACGTTTTGTCTATTTTTATATATATAAAAAAAAGGTTTTATTTATAAATTTTCTGGTAGCTAGAAGTTTTCAATAAATTAACAGCATGATAAAAGTTAAGAAAATTTAAAACAATTTTAATAAAAGAGTTGAAAAAAAAATTTTTTTTACAGGGGACGTTAAAAATATTTTGCTTTGCAAAGTGGGCGGTGATTAAAAAAAAGGTTTGGAAACTATGGTTTAAGGAGACCATAAAATTCCCCATACTATTATTAACTCAAAATTTGGGTAGGCTGTTCAACGACGGTAATAAATAAAGACTATTATTGAGAGCCGGGATAGCCTGGTTGGTAGGGCGTTAGACACCATTTCGTGAGAACAGGGGTTCGAATCCAGTCGGCCGAAGAATCACCGAGTATTAAATGGTGACTGCTGCATGTCAAATCCATCAGGGTCACTAAGTCCTCTAAGTTCCCACAACAAATCAATACCTCTAGGGGTAAAGATCCAGGAGTCCTTATGGATTGGGTTCAAAATTACAAGATTACGGAGTTGAACATTGGTAGCCGTAAACTCAAATTTGGATCAGCTGTTCAACGGCGGTTATAAATTTATAAAATACTATTTTTGACGCTAGCGGTGCTTAATAAATTTTGATTATAAGTACTAATTGAAATTTTTAAAAAAAATTGTTCTCATTAAAATTTGCATGAGCTATGTTGCATGTAAAATTATGAATTTTCAGCATTTTTCAAAATGTATTATAGAGAAAGGTTAATTTAAAAAGAAATGAGGTTTTACACAGATTTTTACATAAATATTCAGCAGTACGATATAAAAAAAAATACTTATTTCTTTTAATTATTATTACTATTCATAAAGTCTATAATAAATTATTTCAAAAATCGCACTCAGGACATAAACTATAATTAAGTCAATTAATACCAGAAAATTTAGATTTTAGTATTATAAATCCAAAAATATAACACAAAACGCACTAATGAATATGAACAGAGATCGAACTCATAACCTTTTCAATGACCAACGCTAAGTTTATCAACCAACTTAGCTCATTTTAATTATTTATGTTTTCGCATTCGGAATTAGAGATACCAATCAACAACATATAAATCTACAACAAACATATAGACAAATATACTGAATAACAACTTTTTAAGGCTAAAATGGTATCTAAAATGAGAAAATTATTAAACTTTAATCATATCTTTGATATTTCATTCTTTCTGAAAAATTGCAATCGCTCATTCATTTATAGTTGCATATAGTCTCAACAGAACAATAAAACTTAGGTTGTAAGAGCACTTTAATCTAAGGATCAAATTAAAATTTGATCGTCCCGAAACATTTACGAACCCTTAACGTACTTTACAACCTCTCTTAACTCTGCTTTAAAACGAAACGTTCGATACGCTCCAGACTTTACACGAAGCAAACTACACAAATTTGCCATTAAAGCACTTCCCATTAAATGGCGCGAGTTTACGTCTCCAAAAGCTCGTTTAAAATGAGTAACTTAAGTCGAAATATTAAATTACGTCTGAAATCCTTTTCAAAGCCAATCGATTTAGAAACTGCCAAGCAAGAATCGAGACTTGCAGCTGCCCCCATCTGCTGTTTCTTAGATTGAACAGGGAATTACAGCCAAGGGAAGATGATATTCCATTAACATTTGCATGTGTTTGTTCTAAAGGTTAAAGCTTGGATCGAAAGTTATAATTGAATATTTGAATGTTTTATCATATTTGAAAAGCACAGAAGAATGAAGGAAAAAAACTAAACATAACAAAAGATTTTCTATTAAAGAGTCACGGTAATTGAATTAGTTAGTACGAAGGGAAAGAAATGAAAAATATTGATAGTTCCTGCTGTCAAAATAAAAAATTTTATTTCTTCCAAGGCATTTTTTCTTTCATATTTTTCCATGTATTATATCGTTTCGGCATCAGCTCAAAGAAAATTTTATCAAGCACAAATTTATAAAAATATGACATTCATTGAAGAACAAATGAATTTAAAAAAATAGCAGTACTAATGTGATTGAATTAAAAGTTTGATAGAGTCGATAAATATCATAATAGTACAAGCCCATACCAGAGTTGGGCAAAAATGTAATCAATTACATTTTTCGATTACAGTAATCAATTACTTGTAATCATAATTACAAGATACCATAATTTTGATTACAGCTGTAATCGTGATTAGATTAATCAATTACTCGTAATCATGATTACAACTTTTATTACCGCTATAATCGTGATTACAATAGTCGATTACAGTAATCAATTACTAGTAATCGTGATTAAAACTTTTTATAGTTTTGATTACAGCTATAATCAAGACTACAATAATTGATTACAGCAATTAATTGCTTGTAATCATGATTACAATTCACCAAAATTTTGATTACAATTGTAACCGCGATTCCAAGCAATTGCGATTCAAAGTAATCACAACGTAAACGATTACAAGTAATGAAAATATATGATTACGTGTAATCATGATTACATTTAATTGGTTATGTAATCACGATTACATTTAATTGGTTATGTAATCACGATTACATTTAATTAGTTATGTAATCACGATTACATTTAATTGGTTATGGTTGGTTGCATTTAATTGGTTATTGGTAATCACGATTACAGTAGTAATAAAAATTACGAATGTTTATAATCATGATTACAAGTAATTGAGTATTATAATTGAAAAATTTAATTTTTTGCCTTACTTTGATGTAATCAAAAATTACGATTACTTGTAATCGCAACTGCCTGTAATCGTGATTACAAGTAATTTATTACATAGCAGTAATTATTTGCAATCGATTACTCTAATCGACGCCTAACTGGCCCTTAAATGAATTTTTAAGAACATAGCAAAAACGTTTTCACTTCTTATTGCAATATTTTTTACCAAACCTATTGATTCGCAATTTTGATAGTGAAAATTTCAAAATCGAAATATTTTACTTTAATTTTTTAAATTTTTTTTAGAATAAAGTAATAGCGCAATTAAAAAGAATTTGACAAAAATATTTGAATCTATGAAGAAAAAAAACACAAACACAATTTTTGAGGGGACTTTTCCCAGTTAAGGGTACAATTTTCCCCCCAGAAAATCCGAAACAAAACTGGCATGAATAGCAGAGTAAAGGTTTAAAGTTTTACAAACAGCCAATGGGAAATTTAAAAAAATCTAAGATGGTAAACAATTTAAGGTTTTTCCAAAATTTTTAAGTATTTTTTTTTTATTATTATTAGTCCATAATAGTTGGATTTTCTATATAAAAAAATTTCATCCAAAACGTACTTTTCAATTTATAAACAACATTAAATCGGTACAAATAATATTAACAACAACAAAATCAATATCAACAAAATTGTCAACAAAAAAACTTTCTTAAATATATAAAGAGAAATTTTTTAAATTGATTGACTAATTGAATGTTAGAGTTTTAGAACGTATAATAATAGGTACAATGGTGTTAAAACCAAGGCAAAAGGTATACCAATAAAAATATTGTAGTGTTTTTTTTCTCCATATTCTCAGAACTCAAATTCTGAGTTTTTTCTCAAAAACTATTTGATGTAATAAATATATTGCTATAATTATATATGAAAGCTTTATTTGGAAAATAACCCGACCCTATACAAAAACCTATTTAGTGAATTTAAAATATAACATGTTTATGAAGAAAATTTTTTTTATTGCAACGTTGAACATGTTTGAAAAATTAAATAACATTGGCCTATGAACCTTCTTAAAAAAAAAAAAAAAAAAAAAAAAAACTTAATATGCCTAGAAATGTGTACGTTAAGAAGGGCAAATAAAGTACTTTCAAACAAACTTAGATAATATTACTTAAAAATATTTACCAGGGTGTATGTACGTTATGTGCCACTTCTGTAAATCAGCAGTACAAATTATCTAGTTTTATGTGCCTTACTAAATTCATAAAGTAAATAACTTTTTGTAAAATTTTCACGCTTTAATTTATACAATAACTAAAAACAATTAGCTAAAATTTTGGAGCGAATTTTCTTTACTTTATTTATTACCCAGATTTGCTTTGAACCCTAACACAAATTCAGATAATATACATATTATAGTAAAATCCGAAAGTCTAGTAAACCATAAGTTTTAACGGTAAAACCTAAGATTTACCTAAGAGGCTTGATAAAAATACAAAGTATGCTTTAATATGATTCTATTTCGAACATTTACCAAGCTTTGAGGCTAGATGTTACCAACGCCTTCCCGTAAAAGTCCGAAACGAGGGATTACTTATGATGGGATTTTCCATTTCCAGATATATTGGGTACCTTAAAGTAGGCCGTAAAAAATCGCCAAATCAAGGTGAGTGAATTCGGGAACAGAAATTAAAACCTTTATCTCAAAGGTCAGTAAACAGAATACCAGGAGTAACGGCGCCTAACCTACAAAAAAAAAAAAAATCAGTGTTGGGTGTACCGGGCAAAAATTTTCCGGGCAGTGGCACTTAACCTTAAAAAACAACAATGTAGGGTATATCTGGCAGTGGCATTTAACCTTTAAAAAAGTATCAGTGTCTGTAAGGTCGGGCAATGGCAATCTCATACCTTGATAAATCAGGTTATTGTAAATAATAAACAGAGATAATAATTGATTGATTCATTTGTTTGGTGTTTGATTTGGCGAAAACAATTTAAACATCGCCAACGACTCCCTTAAAAGAAAGAAAACGGTATACAGGGTGCGTAGCCAAATTATTCAACAAAAAATAAACACCTTTTAAGCACTTTTCAAGCACTCAAAAATTATTTTTAAGCACTTTAAAAAAATATAATTAGGCAGGATTGGAAAGTTTTTGACAATTGACGGTTTTATCTTGTTTTAACCGTCATGTCGACAAAAAAAACTTTTGGTATTGTTCTTGACAATTGTCAAAAATCATGAAATTTTGAATCATTTAAAACGAATGGCGTTTTCATACGCTACGGACTGACAATACGCCGAAATAGATTGTGGTTGAATTAATTGTGAAAACGTTGAATAGAACAATGTGAACTGTGTCATTTTGCATAATTCGTAACGAAAATCAACATGGTAAAGGAAAAATCTCATTTTAAAAAAAGGTAAATTAAGCACTTTTTTAAAACATCCAGTGAAAAAAGCACCTTTAAGGGCTTTTAAAAAACGAAAATGGAAAATAAGCTCCTTTAAGCACTTTTTAAAAGCGCTACGCACCCTGTTAATTGTATACGGTATGTCTCAAAACAGCTACATCACACTTTCATTGTTATCTAAAAATCTAAATTGTAGAAGTGATCAAAATAAGGTATGATTTAAGATTGCGTCGATGGAACGGTTTTACAATTATTTTTCCAAAAAACAAATGCAATATTTATGCCATTTCACAAATCTGATCCCATGTGAAAAAAGCTGAATTATTGCATAATTTTCTCGATAACTACTGAAGATATTTCAATAATAGTACATAAAAATTAATTTGGCAATAGTTAAAAATAATCACTAGTTCGAGCTTTCACCGGTTTTACCACAAAGACTTGGAAAAGTCTGAAATGGAATCATATTAACATATACTTGGGGTTTTTTCTAAGTTACTTTGGTAAATCTTAAGTTTTACAGGTAAAACTTAAGATTTACCAAATTTCGAGCTTTTAAGGTAACATACAGGGTTATTCATAATTCCCTCCGCTTACTACAACCTTATATTTACTACAACTGGCTTCAGTGGTACATGTTACTGCCATCTACCGGCAACTGCTTAAATTAAAACTTGAATACTTTCGGAATAATTTCATATGTTCTTTTTTGCCATATTCGTCTCCGTTTTTTTACTATAACGCTTCGAACCCCCGGAGGGAATTATGAATAACCCTGTATATCTGTATATATATTAAGACGCATTATTAAAGATTTTTGAAATATGTACTTTCTTTTTTTCATATATTATCGCAACTAATTTAAATAAAAATAACTTGGTGAGAAAAAAAATTTAAATTTTACCATGTTTATACTGATTATAACACATATTAGTGGGCTTCCATCGTATTAAACAAATTCAGAGAAATAACAAAGCAAATTCTTACCAATAACAAGTTCATCATCGGTTTGGCTGCTTCCTATACACTCTAGCTGAAAATTTTTCAAGGTGTTGGCTAAATTTCTTTGCGCCCTCGACAGTTCTGAAAAACAAAAGAAACAATATATTTTATTTTTTCTCCTTTTACTGCTGTATTTTATTGCAAAGGTTACGGCTTTTTTTTATGAAAAATATATTGATTTAGTTAATCAATTATACACAAAGTCAAAAGAAATATTTGTCAAAATAGTTAAAAATATTTACACAAAAATAGAAGCATTTTCTATTTGAAATGTTAAAAATGTTTATTGTTAGCTGATTGTAACGTTGAATAGTGATCATGTTTCAAAAATCGGGAAAACTACAAATTCAATGAATCCAATTTAATTTCATTTTAATAATAGCAGCTTGAATTATTTTTGAAGATGAGATTCGAAATTCTGAAAAATAATAAAAAAATATTATTTTTTTTTAAACTAATTCTCACGCCGAGATTGCTTGGTAGGTAAGGCGTTGGGCCCATGTACCAGGGGTCAGGAGTTCGATCCTCGCCGGCCGAAGTCTCCCCGTGTAGTAAATGGTGATTGGTGCACGTTACATCTGTAGGGGTCACAAAGTCCTCCAAGTTTCCATAACAAATCAATACCTCTGGGAGTACTGAATTGGAGATTGATCGTTCTCTGGTTCAGGTCAAAATTACGATCTATAGATGGATGGATTCAGCCAGTAAATCGGCTAAGGTCGTATTCTTGGCCATGCACTGCGCCACTGAAAAGCAAGAAACGCACCCTCTACCAAAAATTCGCTTGGTTTCATCAAGCAGGCTTCCTAGTAATGGCAAGTCGCATTAGAAACAACAACAACTAATTCTCACACAACTTACTATGAAATGATTAATAAGCACCGTTTTGATTTTTATTGATTTATCTCTTTTTATGAAGTAAGCCATTTACACACAACGTAAACTTACGTATTACAGGTTACAAAGAATAATTATTGAAATAATTATACTAATTATTATATTACTATAGATTATATAGTTATTATAACCGGCAATTTATAATAAACATATTTCATTATAACTTAATAAAAAATTCAATTCATAATAAAACACTTATTTTATCTAACTGTATTTTACTTAAATGATAATAAAACCATGATTATCTTTTGTTCATAATTTGAACAATAATCAACGCAACCCAGTGACACATAAAAAAAATCAAAAAGAATTCAATAAATAACTCTTAAAAAAACTAAAACAATGACGAACTTTTATGATTTCTATACAGGCTTCATAAAGCAAAGAAAAACATAACTAATAAATCTAAAATGGAAACATACAGACATATGTTCAATGAAGAATATTCTTTACAAATCATCTCATCAATAAAGATCTTCAATAGGTGCAAACATACAATATTTATCTACGACAAATGAGAAAGGTATAGGGTAATTTCTTCTAAGAACTATTTTTCATCGCGTGCGAATACATAATAATTAGAGATTTTCTAAAGCACACTGGCAAAGAGAACAAATGGTTTTCCAATTTATTGGAGTATCATAATACTAATATAATACACAACTCAAATATTAAGCTTTGCAATAGGGGTTATTGATCATAATAGAGGGAATACGTCTTTTAAAAGATCTCGGAAATAATTTATGAGATAGGAAGCGAGGAAAAATGGCGAAGTTGAAGAACTTTATAAGATGCTGTTATGGTATAAAAAAGTGGAGATTAATACAGTGATTGATATAATCGATTTTAGCTTCAATATTTTTGTTACGGTTGTTTGTTGAAGCAATTACGCGAAGATATTAATGGTCTTTCAGGTGCAATAATGATTTCAGATTTTTAAAAGAGGTAAGATATTGAAAATTAATTTCATCAACTACTAAACATGATTATATATGATACTGAATGGAACATGTTATAATATGTCTAGGGGCTTTTGTATCTATTAAATATTTAAAAATTTATCGGTGGTCTGTCTATTAGATGCCTCAATCATCAGCAATAAATACACAAAATGCTTGATCGCGAAGTATTTAAATGATCAAAGAGTTTAAGGACGATTTTTTTAATGCAATTTATTTTTCTTGTTTAGCTTAAAATTTAATTAATTCTTAAACGTCCGTTTTATTTCAATTTTATTTTTTTTTATTTTATAACCAGCGTAAAACAAATTGGATTTACGGTACAAAGCGATAGCCTTGTAATATTAATTCCAACCCAGAAGACAAGGAAACCCTTGAATCAAGTAGCGGGACAAAATCACCTTTATAGAAAACTTTTTGATGGAAATCACCTGCAATTGCGTTACATTACAGTGATAAAAAGCATTATTTGACAAAACCATTAGGAAATTATGCAAACAGCTCGTGGCGTTGATAATGCTTAAAAGGTTAGCTTTTCCACGAAGTATAGCTGAAACTTCTTTCTAAAATATAAAGAATGTCTTTATTATAAATAGCCTATAGATGTCAGTCAATCAGCCAGCATAAAAACGTGAAAATTTTTTAAAAAGAGTGAAACAACTTTGAAATAACATCTTCTAGTGACTAACATATATATTTTTTAAACGGGGTATTTCAGTCCAAAAATAATATCTTCTACAATTCTAATTAATCATTAAAAAATAGACTTTGAAACTCTTGTGAACTATCGTCAGGTACTATAAAACACTCACCCACACGACACAACTTTAGCCTAGCCTCGTTTGTTCTTCGTAATTTTGATTCTTGTCAGACAATGCGGGCAGCGCCTGAGCTGACAAACCCTCTACCTTAACTTCCACACAACAACCAATGAGAGAGCCGCGATGGCTCAGGGGATATAGCGCTCGCCTTCCAATGAGGCGAACCGGGTTCGAATCCCAGTTCATACGAATTCCGCATCCGGCTTGCACTGACCACAGTCCTGACGTGAAATATCCTTAGTGGTAGACGGATCATGAGTTAGAGTCTCCTTGCCGGCAGGATAACCATGAGAGGTTCTCGTGGTCTTCCTCTCCATGTAAAGCAAATGCGGCTTAGCTCCATCAAAAAGTCCTCCACGAAGGCAAATTTCTCCCAATACTCGATCCAGGAGTTCCCTTGTCTTATGGATTGGGTTCAAAATTACAACGTTGAACATAAGTAGTCGTAAGCCCATAAAATTGGGTCGGCTGTTCAACGACGGTTATAAAATAAAATAAAACAACCAATGAGAAGGCTCTCGATGACGTCAAATTTAATGTGCACTTTGCTGCAGTAAAGATTTTGATGCGGTTATCCTTAAAACGGATAATTGAGAATACTCTTTTAATAACATAAACAACTGTATTATAACAGTTTATAAAATACAAATCACGAACACATCTTTTCTATACTAGCACAACACTATATGCACTGCTTTTCCAAATTTAAAACACACAGTTCTCGTTCGTTTTTTCCCCTCGAGGGAAAAAAACCAATCCTTCTCCCTATGACAAGTTTTTTTCTTTCCCTTTTTCTAGATCCGAATCTCACTGCTTCCTAAACACGCCTGTTATTTAGTCGACTAAGAGGATTGAACTCACGACCTCCAGCCTCTACTTACTGTGCAACTGTAACAAGCACAATACACTAAACACATGCAGCCAGACCATATGGAGGGTATCTGCTACATTTTAGATTTTCAAATTCATGACTTTTCATGACAAATTCCAAGAATTTTTCATGACTTAACGAAGTTACTATTTTCTCCGACAAAAGCACAACAATAATTTTAAAAAAGCATGATAATAACATTAATTGAAATGATAGGTATAACCAAAACCGTTATACTCTGCATCTTCATATTTATAGTTTTTAAATTAAAAAAAACAGAGTAAAGAAAGAGTTGAAGCAATAAAATAGCCGAAGAAAAAAGCAATTTTTTTTTCTTCCTGCAGAATCATATTCTAAAGATACTTTTCTTGTTCTTTGGAAAGGAAAGAAATACTCCCAATTTTTCTGTTCTCATTTCGGAATAAAAAAAATTCGCCAATGACTCGCTTGCTTCAGCTAGCATTTGAAATTGATAAAATAAAAAAATAAATAATAACAAAAATTCTGAAATCACAGAAGTTTAAAAGATTATTCGCCTCTAGAAATGATGTTTTTTCTTTCATTTCTTTGAAAGAACACCATAATTTTTAAAGAACATGATAAAACATTCTATATTTCAATAAAATATGACTGAGTGGGGATTTTGTTACAAATTCAGATATTCGGAACACCATGAAATTTTGAGGGGGAGGGTAAATTCTATTTTAAAAAATAGATTTTTCAAAACCCTAAATCCTTGATTTTCCATGATTTTTTTAAATAATTAAAATCATGACATTTCATGACAAATTTTGTTCAATACCGATATTCATGACTTTCCAGGTGCGCAGATACCCTGCACATGGCACCCTACTCGTTTTCTAGAATCTTTAACTTATAGAAGAAAAGAAGAAAACAATGTAACTAGTTTCTAGAAATCGAAATATACACACATATATACATATAATACCTACATATTTCCGTTAATTTTGTCAATGCTAAACATTAAAAACTAGAACAACAAGCATACAAAGAAGGATTATAAAAGAAAACACATTCTCGCCTTCTGCATAAAAGCAGTTATTAGAATAGCAACACATCTAAAAATAGCAACAATGCATTGGACTTCGAAGATAAATTTTCAAAGTTGACAGATTTCCAGTAACTTCAGAAAAGTTAGAGGCCACATTATATTGACTCAGTCGAGTTAATGATACGTCCGCACGCATATTGCGTGATGAATTTCATGTATTTTCGCCTCCGAGACGTGAATATTCGGAAAATTCACAAATCAAGCCACAAAGAAACGTTGCTGGAACGGAAATGTAAAGGGTGTAACAATATATAAAGAAAGATAAAAGTGGGTCAAAGCAAAGCTATATTAGTCAACATGCTAAAAATAAACTTATCTGAAAAGTACTGATTGAGTTTATTTACAACAAACAAAACACATATTTCTTGAAACAGGAAGGAATGAAAAGTTCAGAGAAATTTACAACCTTAGTTTTAATAATAATAGAAAAATAAGTAATATAAAAAATTAAAGTCGATTTC